AACTCTTGTAATATAAATGGCTATACTTCTGTACTGCCCCTAGAACTTACAACTAAAGTTCTAGACTGTCTTGTGTATACCCTAGAACTAACAACCAATGTTCTAGATCTTTCCCTAAGTCTTCTTTAATAGACTTAGTTTAGGAGACAATTATCCTTATTAACTTCTAGCCTTATCTTTGTGCTTCTGTATTTAATCATAGAACTTACAACTAAAGTTCTAGATTGCCTCATGTATTCCTCATGTTGTTCTTATGTAGTTCTCATGTTTATGACTTTATTACTTTCCTATCTATATGGGTAAAGTGTATAAAGGAGACTACTTTCCTATAGTCTCTCCTTAGAGCTCTTAGTTCCCTTTCCTTTACTAGTACTAGTCCTCCTCAAGCATAAAGCTTTAGATTATTGGCTCTGACTCTTTACTAGCTTTAATAGTCCTTTGTCTTTGTACAAAGCATTCCTAGCTAGCTATATAGTTTCTCTCTAAGTAAGTATAATATTTTCCTTTTATCTCTTCAAGTTTTCTCCTAGTCTTTTCCTTTATACTTCTTGCTCTGAACACTATACTCTTTCCAGATCCCCTCTCCATACAAGCATTCTAAATAACTTGTCTTTGGTTAAGGTTATTAAGTAATACTGTACTAGAGTATGTGTTTAACCTTAGAGAGATAAAGACCTTATCCTCAGGTTTTGTTACCTTTTCCTAACTGACTTAGTACCTACTCCTTCCTGTCCCCTCTCTCTGCTAATGGATTAATCACCTATTAGTAATAATTAGAGGTTAATAATGCTGAGCTAGAGTTCTTACTAAGCAGGACAACAAAGGTAGCCTAGTTAATCTAGCCAATCTTTAGACTTGTAACTAATAGAGTTTTGTATATAAACTACTTGGTCCCAAGTCTTGAGTTAAGCTTTTCCAAACTTAGTTACTGTATTTTACAATTCCTAACACAAATCCCTTTAGCCTGAGCCACTTTCCTTTCTTCTCTAGTATATAAAGCTTATGTTTACACCTTTGTTACACTAGTTCTTTTTTACTGACTGTAACAAAAGTGTGTCTTATCATGTATAACAAGTTCTTGTTTACTGACTGTAACAAAGATACCTTTGTTCTGTCAGTCTTTGTGTGTCCTACAATCTTTGAGCTTAGTGTTTAGTACTCTACTAGTACTGTTCTAGTTTACTACTCAAGTCTGGTCCAATCTTAATCTCTACTTACTTGTATTTGTATTACAGTAGACATAGACACTCTCACTCACTCTCTGTACAAATCTTAACACAGACTGTACTATGTATGTGTTTCAGTTTATTTTCATTAATTATTGTAGATAATAATGTATTATACAAATATTTTAATATAATTGATTTTTGTTATTTTAATAATGAATGGATGTAAGGGGAAATTATTATTATTACAGTAAGAAATAATAACTATGTATAGTCTCTGTAAAACAGTACAAACATGTATTACCCTTTCAAAACTTAGTAATCCTTACAATACATTTTAAAAAAGGGAGGTCTAATATTATACATTTTATATGTTTAAAAGGGGTATTACCCTTATGTACTTTTATTACATTAATAAACCTTACAGTACCTTATACAAAGTTATACTAGTTTATCAGAAATTGAGGTCTGATAATATGTAAATTACTTTTTTTACTTTTTTCACTTTTTTCACACTATTATAATGTAATATAACCTTTTAGACTTTTCCCTAATGTTATAGTATTGCTACTCATGTGTAATGTTAGAGTAATTACTCAGGACTTTTAGAATACATAAGTTTTTTCCTAGTGAATTACAGCTGTTTGCAAAAATATTGGCTGTAGTATAGTTTACATGATTTTTTTTTTACAAAGTTGCAAAATACAGAAAAAGTACTATAACTCACTCAAATCTTGATAGAATTACTTCAAATAAGTTGCTAAATTCATGTTTCTAATAGTAGAATATATTTATCAAATTAGTTTTTAATTATCTCTTTTTCTTGTCTTGTGAAAACTGAAATACATAGATTTTAGCTGTTTTTCCTTGTATAATTTTCCCTAGTCTCAAATCTGAACATATAGGCTTAGAAAACTGTTTATTCTAGTCAGATACATTAATAATTAATTTACATACTAAATTTACTATGAATAGATTGCTTATTCTGTTTAATTGAGAGGGGTCTAAAATGTGCAAAACTAACTATTTTACCCTAGTTTCCCTCACAGTTACTGTAAAGCAAATGCTATAGAAACAATATTTCATCCATGGTGTACAGTTTCTGAAATACAGTTTGTCTAAAGTTATTAATTCATTCGCTGTTTTCTGTATTGAGTGAACCAACTTAAGAGTTGTAGTAACAGGTTGTTTGTGAATGGAACACACTAGTACAATTTAGCTGAAAGGTGACTTCTTCTCTATCACGTTCCAGAACGAACTAGTTCAATCAACTCTGCCCCTGAAGAAGAGGACCCATTCAGAAACTCCCTTATATGCTATCCTGATTTCAATATTGTGAATTCCCTGATGGAGACCTATTCCCATTCATTACCAGTGATGCAAAGCTTGCAAAATTTGTATGAAATCATACTTTGCAAGCAACATTGCCCTAGCATTACTGGTAATGCAAAGCTTGCAAAATTCTTATGAAATCATATTTTGCATGCAACATTACCCCAACTCGAGTAACTAAGAGTCGAGACCACACTTGTAGAACATTATACATTTATACCTGTGGATATTTGTTCACTCGCGCTTCTGGTCAGACTAAGTAAAGTAGATATCAATGTTTCATTACATCTTTCGTAGATAGCAAGCTATCAAAACAACAATGCAGAGTACTCTTAGTTTGCAAGGAGATTGTGGCGGTTCCATTAGAAACATTGAATGTCTTGGACAAATACTGAAGCTGCAAAATTGGTCTAATTGATACCAACTGTTGTCGCTTATGACTTCGAAAGAAATGAAGGCAGTAAACACCATGCCAAAAAAAGAACAAATGAATACGTCAGGACTCTGACCTGATAGCCACATTGGTACTGTGCTACGTTTTACCTGATAACCATCAATATATCCTTCTACTTGGAGAAACTCTTTGCAGGAGAGACACTACCCGGACGTATCAGTCTTTGATATATCTGTGTCCACGTGATGTCAAATCCTGATTTGCGTACCAATGCTTTGCTTTGATGGACTAGAGGTTAGGTGTATTGCCAGTACTAGGCTACTTGTCTATTGCTCCAAGAATCATTAGCAGCATTTGCTCTCTGCAAAGTAGGATATATAATGAGGGTTGAAATGGACAACTTCTACATTATCACCACACAGAGCACCTTACTGAATATTTCCTCAAAAAATGTCACAGCAACAACATCAACTTGCGTGGTCAACGTTGTGGACTGCCATACTCCAGTGGCATGAGGAGCATCACTTTGAACCTGACCACATTAATTCAATGACAGCTTTTCGTAACTGTGCCAAGGAGATACAACGCAAAGGCAAGTACAACATTTGGTAGCTTATAGCTTCACTCATGATCAATTTGTCCCACAAATGACAGGTATTACGACACTTAATGGTATCACTTTCAGAGGGCAATTCAATATTGACAAAGTTAATAAGCGAGTCACCTACACGATTGATTGCAATGGTCACACTTACTCTGGGAAAAATAAACCTTTTGCAGCCGTAGTCCAAGATATGACAAGATTGCTTCAGGACTACATGAGTAATATGACTCCGACTCCTTCCAGTTCCACCGGAGGCCCGTATTCGTTGGACCAGATAATGTCTGGGCAGTGGTAATAATAGTAAACGTTACGTTGTGGAGAGTGACAGCATGTTTGTTATGAACAATGTCCTTTATAAGCAACATTAATGCAAAGAGAATATATAAATGATATCGTTAACATTGCCTTGGATCTCAGTAATTCGATTAAGCATTCTAAACAACTATTATTCATTTGAGCAGTACAGCACAAGGTATTGTGCATTGAATATCTCTCAAAACCTTTCTACATCCTGATAGAGACAAATTCTCAGTATATTTGAAAAGCTTCAAGGAAAGTTGACTATTAATATTTGAATATTGTATGTGAGAATAAACTGCTTTGGGCTCACTATGATCACCAGACATTTATATCATACCTATAGTAATATAGAAAACTTAGCTTAGTATGTATTTAATGTTTATGTATATACAGTGGTGGACAAAAGTATTGCACACTTTTGTCTGCCACTGTACAAGAAAACCCTTCTTACATTCCTTCACTCTCTCCTCCACTTTCTCTAAACTACATTATCTCTGTCTCAGACTCCTCTAACTCTGTTGATGACTTTCTTCTATAGTTACTATACTATTCAAAGGATATCTATTGTGAAATTATTATCTTTTCATCTGTACATCTCTCTCCTTATAGTATACAGTTGGAAAGGCATGGTGTGCTATTACACTAGTACTAGTAGGTCCCTGAATATGCTAGGCAGGATTTCTGTAATTATGTAGCTCACTCTGTTATGTACACTAACTAAGAAACCCAGTATGTTTTAGAGACCTATGCTGGAAATATAATATTCTATACTATTCTATACTATACTATACTATACCATATATATATTCACTAGGCGGTAAAGTCAGACACTAGATTATCAGTTCATTTTTCTTTCTTTCAACGAGTGATTGATACTCACTAATTGAGAATCCCTTCCTCTGAACAAACCAGCCTTTAATTCAACCATTAGATCGAATTATAATTCCTCACGTCTCTGTATCAAGTGTAACAGATACTTATCAGACACTCTCACAAATGTCTGCAAGCAATGAAATATTTGTACTCATATTCTGAAATACAGATACGAGTCACTAATACAACAGACATTCTACACAATGGCACAGTGATTTCCTTGTATAATTATTGAGGTATTCTTTGGATAAAAATCTTAGTATTTGTATGTATGCTTTGCTAAAAAGACCAACAACAACAACAACGAATGAATTGTGGAGTGCTCAAATAATCAAAGTCGACTATTTCGACTATTCCCTACACAAGTACTGCTGAGTGTGAATGATGCAGACGTTTCATTCACTTTGATTAAGTGAGCCGAAAGCCGTATGCAGACAATGTTATGAAGCACAGCTTCGAGTCTAGACGATGAAGAGCGTAAATACATGAGCTTGAATTAATATCTAACATAATATGGTTTTTGTGATGACATACACGCTTCCATAAAACGGCGGAGGGTTCTACAGATGAGTTTGGGTTAAGAAAGGGCTTGGAAAAGTGGTCTAGGTAAAGCACATACAGGAACAACGGAGTTGACAAGCAGATTCACGATTGTAACAACTGGAACAGTTTGTCAGAACGAAGACAGCTTTAGGCACATTGTAATAAGCGTACTTATCATGCAAGAATAGTAAACCTGGCCTTTGATAATCATGATTAGTTCTTTTCACAAACTAGATTATATGAACACGGAGGGCAATACCATCTTGCACCAAAACTATTATCAGTCGCCGGGTTGGAGTCCTCCCTACGGCAATTTGAGCTTGACGTCTGGATACGAGGTCGAAACGACTCACGAAAATCATCGTCTTTCGCCATGATCAGCAGTAGGAGGACTATGTGATGAGTCAGACAAAAGATGTCATGGTTGAGCACTTTCCTCGAGGCATTCATGGAGATCTACGGACTTATCTCCTCAGTCAAAAACGTGAAGAACGGAACCCATCCAAGTTTGCTAGTCAAGAGAAGCACACAGCCGGAATCATACGGGCGAATTCCTACTTCTTTATGTACAGTATGCTTGTGAGATTGAACATCCGTCATCTAAGTGGACTAACTTACCTACAAAGGATCCGGCGGCTTTATAAACCACGGCAAAGGCAATTGCAATGGTCGCCTACGAGTGGATGATTTGAAAAAGTTTCAAGCCAAGTATAATAGGATGATTACCATGAAGAGGCTTAGGAGGACAATAAGAATTCTTCTCTGTCCTCCCCATAATACGTAGATGTGCAAAATGAGGATAACTAGTACCCAGTGAGCATTACCTGGAAAGCATCCTTGCATACAGTACTTACTTTCGGATGAAGCGGTACAGGTATATGTCAAGACTAGAGATGAATTAAATCGCATTAGTCCTTGGAAACCCAGACAAAAATGGGCACACATCCTATCAAAATAGCGATTGGTTTGCACAGCTTTTCCGGGTTGAATCTTCATGAGATTTGAACGTCATGATAATCAAAAATCGTAGTTACCTTGAAATCACCGGGAAACAAAAGAGAGGCTGGGCAGTACATAAATTTAAAAATTATGTTCGCGACCGAAAATTGCAGGACATGCCATATAAGAAAAGAAAGCTTATAACAAAAGGAGCGTATCGGTTGAAAATAAGGATAGACTTGATGGCGGTCTGCCTGCCTGTCGACCATAGGAGAGTTATCTAATAAATGGACATATTGCGCGAAGGTCTTAGAATGAGGAAATGCGAAACTCACCTCGTCGTCGAGCGTTATAAAATACTCGTATATCTATTCCGACACGTCAGTCCTAAAGACATGTCGTATGTGGACGGACGGCTAGCTTACTACAAGAGTAAATGTTGCAACTAGTGTATGACGCGTTAGCTTTATTCAGCCAGTCGGGTAGAGATAAAACGGACTTGCGAGATACTGTCGAAGCATGTCAGACTCCAGTATAACGATAAGAGAAGAGTCATTATTATGACGGGTACACTCACCCGAGCAATGTTGATGTTCTTCGTCTCTAACTCGAGGGAAAGGTCAAATGCATTGGACATAGCAAGGAAAGCGGAGCAAAGAGTTGTGAGCAATGTGTCTGAGTATATTATTATATATGTTGAGGTAGTGTACAGTGGTTTTAGCCATGGTACTTCTGATGAGAATATGACTTGCTTGATGGTCGTCGACGGATCTCCACGAGCGCCGAGTAATAGTCTGTCAGGACGTCGTAACTTGACTCAAGTGAGGGCAAGGACAGAGTGATAACCCGGGTTCAGTCCGATAGAAATTGCGAATATTGGTGAAGGGTATTTTGAAGCACGTTATGAGCTCCTGTGAGGCCGAACGAATATCACTAGGTACGCCATCCGCATCAACTGGCGTCCATGAACAAAGCCGCGCTAATCATATAGGATAGAAATTGCTTTTGAATACGCAAGTTTGTGTCAGGGTATTGAAACCTGCGTCAAGTTGAATGCCCAAATTGAATACCTTCCAAACTTGTCGTGATCGGCGTTGTTCCCACTAAGTAGCTGCGGTACTCAGCGCACACATTATTGCTCATTGCTTCTACCAACCCACTTGCTTTCTTCCATCATGGCCAGCTTGGCCAGCATGTCACTCGCCAAGTTAACATCCCTATCAACACAGACATTGTCGCTACTACTGGAACGTCAGCGTCTTCAGACCATGAACCAGCCAGCGCCCGCGGCAAGCACGCAGAACATCATTCGCAACCTTGCACAACTGCGCTCCGGGATCCTCGCACTTGAGGTTAAGACGCAGGATGGCAATGGTGGAAAGGCCGAGAAGGAGGCTTCTGCACTGTTGAGAAGCCAGTTTGCAAGGATGAGGGATATGCTGGGCAGTGATGTGGCAGGTATTGACCCGTGAGTGGTTGATAGTTACGTTGCGTGGATTACCGTTGACGAGTAGTAACTTGTGTCAACCTGGCTGTGCAGATTACCTCCCCTTGTGAAGGAGTCGGAAATTGCGTCCGAACTGTCTCCAATCCCGCCACCACCCCCTCGAAAAGATACAACATATGTTCCATACTCAGATGAGCCCCCACCGTCACCAGAGAATGATGCTTCGCCCCCGGAACTTCTGGAGCAGCAGCGACTACTCATGGAAGGTGTGTAATGCACTTCTTTACTAGTACAACTTGTGTGTGAAGTCGAGTCCTATTATTTTAATTATACACCTCCAGAACAAGATGCACATCTCGATCATCTATCTCTCTCCGTGACGCGCCAGCGAGATATTTCGCTTCAAATAAACGACGAGCTAACCGTCCACAACGGGCTATTAGACGAGCTCGGACATGATGTAGATAATACTCATGGTCGTTTGAATCGAGCCCGGAAACGACTGGATCGTTTCAGTAGAGGTGTTAAGGGTAACTGTAAGGAACCTTTTATGTTTCATCTAGTCTCAACTTGACTTGGTTCGTTTTAAAGTGTCGACATATATCATTGCTGGAATCATCCTCATCCTCCTCATATTAATCATCATTTTCAAGACATAATTCATGAATTCCACATTTTTTCTCTCTCTTGGATGTTTTGTATCATTATGGGATTATACTGCATTTTTAATTATACTAAGCTGCATATCGGATAAAACCCTAAGACTTAGTAAACACTATTCCTCGCAATCTGTGCATTCAAGGATGTTCCAGTCGGTAACGGCGCATTCTTCGAAGGGTGTAATCCAATTCCAGGTATCACACGCGTCTCCTTCCTATTATCCGGCATACGCGCTAGCTGTGACTTGCTACGCATGCGCGGCCGGACTTTATTGTACCATTCCCAAGTGAGACGCATGATCTCGCCATCGGCTTCGTATGGGGAGGGAATCTCGGAATAGCTGAACCGTGCGGTTGGTCGTCGAACGAAGATGGCTGAGCAAGTTGCGAAGTTGACTTCGATGTAGGCTGGGATGAAGATGAAAGGTGCTGCGAAGGGTGGAAGATGGAATGGTGTAAGGCCTGATTCGGACGACTCCTCTCCGGCAGATATATCGGAGGGTTGGTTTTTACTTGTGGAGTTGGATTCTGAGTCCGGAGCTGCTTCAGCTTCATTTTCTTCGCCGTCGGAATTCTTGGTTTCTTCAGGTTTTCGCAAAAAGCTGATCGCTTCCGGATCCACGCTAACCATGTCTCCTGGTGCGATACGTGTGTTTGCGTTCGTGTGCTAGAATTCATAAGCTCAGAAAGCGATATAAATTGTCGAGTAGCCAACCCACCTTTTTCCCATTGAGAAGTACATCCCCATGTATAACCATCCTCCTCGCCTCATACACACTATGCGCAAAACAACACCGGAAAATAAAAACGTCAATCCTTCTCTCAACCTCTTCAAACATCAAACTCGCGACAGGTGCCTGTGCGAGTAACTCCTCCTCCTCTCGCTGCTCTTTCTCCTTTACCGCCTGGTTTGTCCGTACAGCCCATTTGTTCAGCGGTTCTGCGTCATCGCCAATTGCGCGTCGGGAGTGAGGCCGGACATCTGGTAAGGTAGAGGGAAGGTACCACCGCTTGAAGATTTTTTCGTTGATGAAGTCTCCGTGATAAGCTCGGGTAAGGCGTTTGGCCTTCCAGCGTTGTTGGAAGAGGGAGTTGCCTGAGCTGGTGAAGACGGTATCGTCACGCAGTTCAGTGAGGGAGCGACGGTAGAGGTTATAGAGGTTCCTGGGAGACCAGCTCTGCAGATATTTCGATTAGAGACGTGATTTAAGGATTCAACAACAAAGCAAGCGTACCATACGCGGAAGCGCCTTCCTGATACCGAACACATTCTTGTCTCTCATGTTGACGAACAGGCGCCTTGACCATTGACCAAGTGCTGCGACGGAGGAAAATATCCTGTCCCAGAACGGCAGTCACGACGATCGACGTGATCCGCCTTCCTAACTCGTCTAACGCAAAGGTCAATGAACCTGCTCAGTGCTATCACCTTCCTTCTTATACGTCTTCGATGTCTGCAATACGAGACCCTGTCTTCGAGGCTGATAATCAACAATGCTATGCTATACTGTACTAAGGATCTATCTTCCCGCTGGGTCTACTTGTTGGACACATTACACGAGGCAGCCCATTCTCATCACGTTTCTTGAGATCAAAGAAGACTGCTCCGAGTCTCACCAAGGCTATGTCTTCTACTGAACCTCATGAATTCGGTTTGCTCACAATTCTGGATGGACTCCCTGAATGCAGTGTCGCTTCTCTGTCCCCAGGCCGGGCTGCGTATTGGCCTACTACTTTCCATCTCCCGCACATTCCTCGCTCAAGCATTCACCGATGAAGATGATATTCCGTCGCCTTCCTAAGGAGTACAGCTCCGAATCATCATCCACTACAGCTACGTCTGATAAACCAGCTGCCAAACAGTCGCGGAAGGGATTTGGTCAGAAAGTTAACAACCTCACGAGACGTATCAAACGCCGCCTTTCGAGACGTTCCGAGTCTTCGAGCCTGGGGGTTATACAATCCGCGCAAGAAGGACCCACATCGAGCACTATCAACCAGGTTCCAGAGGCAGCGAGCGATGCTGTTGCGAAGGACGAGCACGACGAGAATCGAGTGTCCGCAGGATCCCCTGTGAAGCACAAGAAGCTCGAAAAGGCGAAGAAAGTCCTCAAAGTTACAGCATCCGCGCTCATACTGGTCGCAGAGGCAGTTTCTGCTATTGGTGATATATGCCCGCCGGCCAAGGCAGCTGCAGGTGGTCTGCTACACGTTGATAGTGTCGTCCGGGTATACTATATTGATTTTGTTGGCTTTGTATAATCAATTACTGACCTCTTATTATGCAGTTAGAAACTTTAAGAAGATAAAGAAGAGAATAAAAAACTATTTTCCTGGATTGAAGGGCATGGCAAGGAGCTAGAGGCTATAGTTTCCTCTGAAGCTAGCTTGCGTAACGAGCCTGAGGAACATATTATCACATTCAATTCGTAAATTTTTTTTTATTCTCGTCTATTCCGACGACGCTGGATTAATATTTTTTTTCACTGCTGCGTAGCATTCTTGTCCAGGCAGCAGATGACGTTTCATTGGACTTGCAGCGCAATTGGTTCGTTCGCTGGATCGAGTTACACAACCGATCTTTACAGCGCCGTCGCATCCGTGCCACCGTTTCAGCTGCCGTTAGAGACTTCAAGGTAATCTATTCTCATTTTGCTCCCATTGAGTCCTAACGCTGTCTATCCACAGCATGTAATTTGTACAACGGCTCCTATCAAGAGCTCCCTGAGTAAGTTTCCGTTCTACTCGGCCGTGCACAGGCTTCTAATAACTGCTTTCAGCCAACACACCTATTTCGGATTACGTAGTTCAAATTAAAGAGATTAATATGAAGTTATCAGGCCTCGTTTCGATGAACCTTGTTTCTCACAGCTTTTTTCTTTTAGATCCGTTCTGCGAGCTGCCGAAAAATGACCATATTCTCATGATCCAAACTCCCCAAACGGCTCCATAGCTGTGCAGTGATCAGAAGTATTGTAACTCTTGATTGATAAGATATCTGATCTGTGTTGTACAAGAGTCACGTTTACTCGCCTGTAGCCTTGTAGCTATTGATGTGAAAAATTATTAAATGTAACATTGATATTGCTGATCCAACGCCTGGTTGATCTCTGCCTGGAGGAACAGTGTACTTCCTGTTGTACTTAGCAACGTCCTACAACTAGAGCTTCATGACACCATACTTCAGACAAATCAGAGCTCAACATTGAAACACCCAAGGTAGTTTGGATAGTATTCTTATTCAACATAGCTTTGCCTGTGATAATTTGCAATCGTGCTGAGAGTTCAAATGCTTGATCAATAGAGTACTGTACTGCGAAAATAATGTTACTGTTATTTTTTTAATGCCTGAAAAGAAGATAGTAGGGAAATATAATGTGATGAGCGTGAATTTTGGTACAAAGACAGTAGAGCCATCTCAGCATATGTAGTAGGCGTTCAAAATTTGTGTAAAGCCGTATACACAAAAATACCGTATTGCAACAAAAGATAAGCTAAAAACGGAAGATGCTACGAGAATAAAAAAAAAAGTCCCCTTCAATTCTTCCCTACCTAACATTCTATTTACACTCTTCTACCTTCCCCTCCACCTTAACTAATTTACTAAACAGCGGAATACACGAGACCTTGGCAAAATGCACTAGTACAACTATCCGATGGCTTCACCAAGTCCATGTACATCACACTGCTATCTTGCTGATTCTACCGCAACAGACATGTCGCGCTCACTGTAGCGTCGAGGATCAATAAATGTTTGCGGTTTAAATTTAATCGATCCGTGCACCCGAAACGGGGCATATTAGCCGATCGACATGATCCACGCCTTCCTAATTCGCCAGACGCGAACCTCTGCTCACTGCTGTACCAACAACCATCCTCACTTGAGACACGTCCTGCTGAACACAATGGAGCCCTTCACGCCAAAAAGACGCTCACGAATACGCCGTGATAAGCTCACATTGTCAGCAAAGCAGTATTCAAAGGTATGTATAATGTCAGTATACCAAGTGCAGGCGCGTTCAACGTCGACGCGTCCAAGATCACAGGCACAATTGCTTCTGTCCGACGGAATCGAGTTAGCGAAGTTAATGAAGTCGAAAATCCAGTCCTTGGGGGTACGCATCTAAAACTGCACCGAATAGCCTGCGCTGACCGCGTAACTTGATAGAGCTCAGCGAGCCGTCGTTCATTGCAGAAAAGTCTTTCGTAGATGCACCGCTCAACTCACGCGTGCCGATTCAACTCGTTACGACAAAGACAAAGGGCAAGCAGAAGGCTGAACCTTTGGATAGAGTACCTTTGGAAGTACAGGAAGCACTAATCCTGGAAGATCTTTTGTTCGTTCTCATGGTGTGCATATTACTTTTGCACCCTTGTTTATGTTCAACAAATCTCTGTGCATATAGGGCACCGAAGGGACGTACATAACGTATCCCTCAGACGTTTCCCAAGAAGATGAAGATCCCAATCATGGCCTGCGGTTCGTCGTAGCACCATCACTTGACCCCTCTCTTCGTGATCTAGTCGAACGCGTCCTCCCACTCGCGACCTACTACACGGCTATAACCACGTTCATCCAAGACAGAAGTCATCTCGAATATGGGCTCGTCAATCACGCTCTCTGTGCTGCTATACGCGATATGCTAAAAGACTATCATACTTTGCTTTCGCAACTTGAGCATGCGTTCCAGCATTCGCCGTCTTTCTCACTGCAGAAGCTATGGTTCTACGTTCACCCAACGTTACATACTCTCTCATTAATTCATGGCCTTATCTCGGAGATTGTTGATGCGGAGGAGCCTCCAGAGTCTGGATCAGATTCAGACGAAAGTGAGGAAGACCCGGAGGAACAGGCGCGGAATGAAGCACTCGGACTAGGCGGAGCGAAGTTCAAAGCACTTGTCAGTGAGATGAAGAAAAGCACGGGCGGAAGTGGTGTTCCTGCTGGTCCTGCCAAGGGCGGAGAAGTGCTTTCTATCCTGCATGAGCGAATGCAGCGCATGTCAGGCGATCCTTCAGCACTAGCATTACACCGTGCGCTCATGCGTGCAGCAGGTCGACCGTACGCTGAGATGCTGGTCGCGTGGACACGAAGTGGGAAACTCGACGACCCATACGAAGAATTCTGTGTGAAGGAGAGCAAATTCATCGACAAGGCTAATCTAAACGTGGATTATACGGATGAGTACTGGGAGCGACGGTACACTCTGCGAGACGGGTCTACACCATCGGGCACAGCGAAGACGCTTCAAGCTGGTATTCCGTCTCCTCGAATGCCTGGTGGGCGGCTGCCTTGTGGTGCATGTATCCCTCCCTTGCTCGAGAGCTGGAAACACAAGGTTCTGCTATCCGGAAAGTACCTAAACGTGCTCCAGGAGTGTGGCAAGGAGATCAGGAGACCAAACACTCTCGAAGACGAAGACTTTGCTATGGAGAACGATAAGTGAGTGTATCACTGCCATCAAATGACCCTTCTTAATTGTGATATTCAGGTTCTACAAAGCAGTAGAAGATGCTTATGCCTTCGCGGACAGTACACTAGTTAAAATCTTAGTGCACGACCAACAACTCATCCCTCGTCTTCGCTCATTGAAGCACTACTTCCTCCTTTCCCAATCCGCCTTCCTTACGCATTTCCTCGATGCCGCCCATTCGGAACTAAAGAAGTCTGCTCGAGGGGCGAATATCGACAAACTACAGAGTTTGTTCGATGTCGCGCTGAATACTGACGGTTGTACGTTCGTAAGTGAGGGCGAGCCCACATTTAAGGAGGACGTGAAAGTTAGTTTAGGAGACTCCGGATTATATGACAAGCTCCAGAAGATTCTGAGCGAGAGAGGAGCTATTGGAGGCCCTGAAAACATGGATACGATAAACGACCTTGGTAACGACGAAGAGAAAAGGGCGAAAGGTAAGGATGAGAAGGATACGGTCAAGTTCCTAGGTATGGACTCGCATTCTGAGTCAGATCATGCGCCTCACGTTCATTTATCCATAGCCAGCAGCGCCTTTCAACTAGACTACAAAGTCAACTTCCCCCTCTCACTCGTCATTTCACGAACAAGTATCGTGCGCTACCAGTTCCTCTTCCGCTTCTTATTCCACGTGCGCAGGATCGAACAAGCGCTGTTGGGGATTTGGACAGAACACACGACGGTTCCGTGGAGAGATTGTACAACCTTTTCTGGTGCTGAGGAGAAATATCGAGACATCTCGCATTGGTGTAGATGTCTTTTCCTACAGCGTGCACGGATGTTGGCGTTTGTTCAGCAACTACTTGCATTTGTGACGTCGGAGGTGATTGAGCCAAATTGGCGACGATTGGAGGCTTCGCTTGCGCGTGTAGGCACTGTTGAAGCCCTCTTCCGGGTTCACTTGGACTTTGTAGACACCTGCTTGAAGGAGTGCATGCTAACGAACGGGAGGTTGATCCAGGTGTGCGAGACTCTCTTATGTCTATCCTTAACATATTACTGACAATATTGCGGTTTAATATTAGGCAATCGAGAAGATCTTAACCACATGTGATACGTTCGCTCAGTACGGCTCGGCGTTCACGAAGTCGTTGAAGACGGCACTTGAGACAGATGACCCTGAAACGATTCAACGTGAAAGGACGAAACGATGGGAATTCTTGAAGAAGTTCACCAAGAACTTTGAGCATTGGTATGTATACTTATTCCGATATTTTATACTGTTGAAGCTGAAGATATTTCGACCTTACACGTGTGGTTGTAAATCGTGGGGGCATCTAGGTTTGGCGTACGTATTTTTTGCATTTCGAATATGCTTTAGTTTACTGATGATGGCATTGTAGAGACACGTGGATCGCGTGCAGTATGATGCCTCGAGTGGTAATGGTGCTCTTCTACCTCTGTATTCGCGACTTTCAAGCATACAAAGCACGAGTTCGCTGGATCAGCTTTGACTTATTTGATTATCGACTTTTTTTGGATTTATAGCTGCCATGTTGTCCACTTGTGCTTTCTTGAATGCTACTCTCCTATTATTATCGTTGCATAGCTCATTGTTACCGCCTCGGAAGACCGAAGACCCGTAAAGAAAGGAAGTATTACTATGATCTCCGTTCCGTCCCGAAAATGAGAGTCTCATTCATCACATGTTTCTCACGTGCCTGTGGCTGACATCATGCAAATGTAAAGAAATGTAAAGAACCGATCCTGTGATACTCCGCTGCTGTTGCCGCATTTCATTCACTTCACCATGCTCAAGAATCTGCCCTTAGAGCTCGTCCTCAGCATCTTCAGATACTGCGACGCCCGAACACTGTACAACGCACAACTCGTTAGCCGCGGATGGGCAACTGCCATTGCAGAGAACGAGAACACCGTTTATCGCGCAACGGCTATCTATCACGGCTTTGTTGATCCGTCATCAACTCTCGAAGAATTATCCACCGATTGGACCGGGCTGACGTCCTCTGAACACGAACACTTTCGGGGATGGAAGGACTTCTGTGCGTGCGCTTTTGAGCTTTCGAAGGCGGAGATGAATTGTGAGATTGGTCTGTAGGTCGAAGACGCTTCCAAGTTGAATATAATTGGGAAGGACGTGGATCGACTCCGAAGACGACTCTATTCAGGTCTACTGGAAAGGATGTGCATAGGTTTAAGATTGATGAGAGGAGGGATGCCCAGTTTATTATCACTACACACCGGAGAGGGGGGTTGAAGGTGACTTGCATGGACACGGATACGGTGCTATTTGAACTCCGAAGGGTGATATGCCTTTTCATCCAATATATTGGCAAGCTCGTGGTACTGACTGCTGCTTCCTGTTTTATATCAGAGTTACGTGCGGCAGTATGCTCATTGCGAATATGACAACGGTTTCCTTATCTTCGATCGTTTTCATCCTCATGCGCTTGAGATGTGGCGACTATCTAACGATAACGATTGGGATGGAAGTGTACCGGAATCAAACGTCTTGCACCGGCCGGATATCTCGCAGCTCACCACACCAAGAAAACATTCCGACGCAAGCGCTGGTCGAGGCAGCTTTAAGCCCTGGGCCCTGTTTGAACCGCGGAATAGTCCCCGGGCTTATCGCTTCGTGTACCCACACCTCCTCGTCGGCTCCGAGTGGGGACAAGAACTGTATATTTTTAATGTACTGACGACAACTCTCGATGAGACAATTCCGATCCCATTGGAGGCTATACCTGATGGAGAGACAGGTGTACATATCAACTATGTTGAACTCGGGGCTCGACATGCTTTCGTATGTACACCATATGGTGTTTTGATTCTTCCACGTTTCCAGCACATGACTGGCGATACGAACGGTCATAATGGCGATGAAGCTCCTCAATTCATTGATTTTCCCAGCTCAGACCCGGATATGCATATACCGCAACTCATACGTCACTATGCTACACGCATGATACAAACGTTTGGTCCACCGAGCAATCCAGCTATGCGCGAGTTTATCCTGACGGCACCTCGTGTACCGGAGCAGAGCACAGCTCTCGTGCGCATCGGAGAAGATAGGCAAGAATTTAGTGCTGGTTCGTCTAATTCTTATTTTGGCTACATATGCTATCTATTGTGCATTGTCGCTGACGCTTTGTACAGTACATGTCTCTGCAGACGGCAAGAACTTCATTGCTATTACAGTCTTCGGCGTCGGATACTTTGTGCGCGATTTTGAACGAGTCTTCCGAGGCGAAGCGAGCATTTCAGACGTCGCATTGCGAATAAATTTGGGAACATCAGCACTGAATCTAGCGTTTGACCACGATCGTGCCATCATTCAAACTGTATTTATCTCCCACATCCTTGTTTCTGAATTTAAATATTCACAAATTATTAGATCCATGGCGTATTTGTATTTAACCTACATACAACTGCACCATACGAAGTAATCACGCCACGGTATCACGAGTCATCGCTATCACCACAACCACCCGTTCTTCCCCATCTCTCCGCACATCAGCTCTTGCACTTCCGGAATCCGCTTCCGTTACGTCTCGTAACCTGCGTGAAGTTGTCTCGCACGTGCGTCTGGCTCGACTGGAGTGCTCGCGCGTTGGAGGAAGTGGAGGGAAGAGCAGCGCCGTTACCAGATGAAGAAGATGGCTTCTGGGCGAATGGGGACGACGAAGTAAGGGAGGAACATCCATATGGTATGTCCACGCCTTATTTCCCCACGCCCTAGACATATCAATTATCAATCAAAAATTTCACCCTAACTAACTAACCTTCCATTTCAAGCAACACGAATGGTCTGTCGAATCGACTTTGCACCTCGAGGAGAACTAACAGAGACGGAGATGAGGTACATGCCGTACTAAACACTTATCTATTATCTTTTTTTGAATATCCTTTTCCTTTTTTTTATTTACGAAACTGTGAAACTGAAATTATTGTAAGTAGAAAACAACGTGAGGTGTGGTTTTCTTTGTATGACTTGTCTGTTATATTGGTGAGCAGAATGTAAAGTTGGTTTTTCTTGTCTGTGTTCTGTTTCTTCTGGGTCCGACAATGACATGGTGTGATACCTTCCATCACTTTGTTGCTGCCTTCTTGCTCGATCTTCCGGAACGGAACGATTGCAAGACCATTCTTATGTGAGAAATCGAAGCTTTATGGTGTCTGACAGCATCCCTCTGTGCATATATCGAATGAACTTATTGCGAATAGAGAGAAGTAGACACAACATTCTCGTGTTACATTTCAGTCAAAGCACATCTTTACAAGATACACACAATAGAATACACCTTGTAAATATGCAAAGAAGCAAACGACGAAACGGTTTATAGTGTCTCGATTCATCATGCATAACTGATGCCGTTACTACTTGGCTCACCCACGGGTTCTTCACTTTGCACCTTTGTTCAGCTATAAATTTGCGACTTGCGACTGTTTCCAATGGCCCACCCATAAACATCTTCCTAAACACTATGACAGCTTGCTTACCGGTTCACCTCTCATTTACATAATTATAGTATTGTCTAGTCTAGTAAACACACTACTGTGTCAGTCATGCCGTTTACACACGACACAATCATAGAAGACGCATATACTGGTGAGGACGGTGATTATAAGGAAGGTAAACTGTATTTCTCGGATATACACTATCACTGTTACAAATACTGAAACATTGATAGCTGTAAACCTGAAGCACAGTAAATTCTGTTTTTACTTTATGTTTATCCACAATTAGCTTACTGTTATACTTTGAAAGTCTGGGCCAAAGCAGAGGTTAAAGTAGAGACAATGAGGAAAGACTCGGAAGCAAATAAATACGTGTTTAATGGCGAGTCACAGTTTTCTCACAACTGCTTTTATATACATCATTCATTGACAATCCTAATATTCAGTGAAAATATGGCAGGAATCTAAAGATCCAGACTGGCTACACAGAACTGTTACAGTTAATTGTGATAGTCTAGCAGAAAATGGTGCAAATACACTGGTTCAATTTCAACAAGAGGTTCATCACGAAAAAGTCTTAAGTATTATACTTGCTTGTAATCTTGTATATTTTGTATATTTTATAAAATTTGCCCAATTACTTATAATCTTCCTGGGGGGTTAAGTAATGACAGTACAATGTTAGATAAGTAAGTAAGAATACTTTTAAAACTTGGCAATTTCCATTATAATTTTATAAATTGTCAAGTTATAAAAGTGATTATAACACTTTCTAAGATTACAAGACTAAGACATACTTATTTATTTGAGGAAGGATAATATCTGCTTATAATGCTTATAAGTCATTACAAGTGTTTGAATAGCTTGCTTTTGCATAGTATACAATTTTGTATCAAATAATTAATCAAATATAATTATATTTAATTTATAGAATACAAAAATAGTAAATAATATATTATTTCTACAGTCCCAACCCCTGCACCACTAGCTGCCTCTGCCTGGTTCTTCTGCGAGCGGGATTCGTGTCGGAAAATGATGAACGCATCCTCAGGCTGTTCAACGTAGTCTTCGTCACCACGTTTTGATCGTCACTCAGACTCTGTGAGTCGAATTGCGTGTGCATGTGGGTTGGGGTCGAGCAGGTTGTGGAGGTTGAGGCTGCGCCTGTTAGACAGGTTAAGATATTGACTACTACAGAGTGATTAGCGAGTGACAATAGGAGAGAAAAGATGGATGCACTACGACAGCGTACAGCGAGTGTGAGTGGTTCACCTGGGTTGAAATCCGGAGCGTTGAACGAGCTAATTTGGGCTGTAGGGGAAAACATGTCTGTGCAAGCACATTGCATGTTCTGGCTATGATATGCAATCGGAGGTGCAGTGAACCCAGCAGTAGCTGTGGATGATTTCAAAGGTGTATCTCCGGGACGTTCTGGCTCGAAGGGAGAGGGTGAAGTGGATAGTGTGGACAGACTGGGCTGAGAGAGGAGTGGAGGGTCACTGCTTCCGTTCGAAATGGTGTCATGCACGGCACTGAGGAAAGTAAACGCACGCAGTGTGGACCCATCAAAGGTGATGCCGAGCATGGAACGGGTGGGGAAGAACGTGCGCGTCGTGTTGGAGAGAGGATTGCGCCTTGGGAGTAGTCGTACATGGACATTATCGCGAGCGCGTGATTGTCGATTGTTGCTTGCACTGCAGAGTGACTCGGAGAAGAAGTATGCGAATTATTAGCAAAGTTGTTCGGTATCGGTCAAAAATGCAGATGCGCGAATGCAAATGCATATACAAAAAAAAAGGCGAGCGTAATAAAAAGGAGGACAACGAAGGAGGAGCAACGCAAGAGGCAGATCGAGGAGCAGGAGGGATGAAAGGGAGACAAGAAGTTGGGAGGAGAGGGATGAGCAACTATTGTGCGAGTTATTAAGAAGTGGACGGGCTGCTTACGCTTTACGTTGAAGGACAGCGTAGCCAGCTGGCTCGTGTCGTCACAGGATCTGAGGCTCAGCGCAGGCATTGCAGTGGCAGATTA